TCTAACGACAGCAAGCGAAACTACAAAGAAAGTCAATAGCTCATTAGATTTGAGCACGGAGAATACTGCGCGATGCACGTCATCATCCCGTACGAAATCAAAACGAGGAGGTAATAAACTATAATAGACTGGTTTCGTGCTGACTCGTTATTTAACCTTGCAGCCGATAATGAAACTATGGAATATGAGTTACCGAGCACTATATCGAAAATATATGTTAAGCTGATAAACTCGGCAAGAATATCATTGAGCGCTACATAATGCTGGCTCACCCTCATACATATTCTCTCTATATAACACATAAGTGTGACAGACATAGATATGGTTCACGGAAGGCCCGCTCTGGCTTAGATAATACTACGCACAATCAGTCACCAGGTGCGTAGCAGTCGACTCCAGCTCAAACTCACGACAGATGGCGCCTCGTCGCTCAGGGCTCAATCTACTTATTGTACTGGATGTACTTTCGTATTCCTGAGTGTACGAAGGGCAACTGCTGCCGACTGCATTCGCAGTTTGCTACAGCACTTATTCCATCGACAGAGCAACTTTTTACACCGGCTCGGAAGACATATTAATTTTCCAGAACATTTCATGATTCCCGAAACTATAGCGTGTGAGATTGGATTTGTAGTGGCATCTGACGTAAAAAATGGAAATCAACATGAGGAAGTACTTAAAGATAATACTTGTCCTCCAAGCAGTCTGACGTAAGCGCAAGCATCAATCACCGGCACCACCGTACAAACTGTTTGCGTCAGTAGACATACGGTGGTGTATACCAAACAGCACTGCTCTTAAATAAAAAACCTAAATCGCGAGGGCATTTATATGCTGCTCCCTATAAAACACTGTACGCAGCAATATTCATTGAATACAACCTGTAATCACGGCTTACACCCTAAATACCCTGCATACACGGAATATTCAATCACAACGATTTCTCTGCGAGGATTCTATCTAATCTAATGATATAAATACACTATAATTCTATCGAATAGGTACAAAAATTACAAGATAAATACATGATATTTACAGTCCAACTCTAACACCTCTCTCCGCGTCCTTCTGCTCCCCCTTCGCACCCCATGTAACAGACTAACTAGAGATGTGTTTGTTGTACATGCATAGTCTTGTCACTGATTTAGACAGGTTACGTGAATTATGTCCAATTTGGAAAACATGTAGTAATCTATCATAACGTAAGTTTTGAACAAATAGATGCCTTTCAATAGATCACGCAGAAGCGACGCAACAGCAAATCGCACATGATGCCGTATCAGCATATCCCAGCGTGTGATTGAGTTTCACACTTTGTGAATTGTTGACTACACACGTGGTCTGGAACACGTGGAGAAGCTGACAGTGATAATCGGCAGTGACTAGCAACGACGCGACTCTTAAAACGAATCTCAACTCAAACGATACATGCGTTATGATAAAGCATTATATTATTTAATACTATTGTAACTCACGCGTCCAGAGATTTGTTCCCACGCGAACATTACTAAGGTAGCACCTCCTGTTTGGGTATTTACAACGTCCAACTACTTTCAATAAATTCACGAGGATGGAAGCAGGCCGTCATTAAGCTATTCATACAAATACTGAAACATGAAAAAGCTTATCATTTTACCAGTAAGCTTTGTAATCTTCTTAAGTAAACAATGCATACCAACTTCAAGTTAATCAGTCCATATAAAAACGTCTGTAAGTTCACAGTACTTTTATCACAACAATCTATTCGAAAATAATTTTATGTCTAGAGCAATAATGTTTGTCAAAACGAATTCCAGTGTAAATAATAAAATTTAGGTCAATTTAGGATAAAGAGAGTATTATTCACTTATTGTTAGCTATTGATGCGCCAGATTTGTTATGTCAACGAATATTCTTTGTATTCATTCAGTAGTAGTCATGTGTAGTAAAATATGGCTTGCTGTCACGCATGGCAATGGTTTATGATCCAAATGAAGCTGTCACAATGGCAGCAGTTTATCATGCAACAATCTATCATAGAAGCTTGTCACCATGGCAGGCAGTCTTATTCGTGGACTACCAGCATGGAGTCCGTCCTGTGGACAGTAAAGATTTCGCGCTCTACAGAACAGCTGAAGCTGATGTTCGTGCAGTAACGTGCACAATGTCCAAGCACAGCTTCGCACGCGACCCGAGTGCTAATCTGTACCCCGGCTCACCAGCACGAATATCGGATAGTGGTGGTAGTGGTGGTGGTGGTGGTGCTCAGTGGTGGTTGGTGGTTTGCTCGTCGGTCGCGTTATGACAACTTGCCCGCTCCAGCCTTCTCCTTCGTACGTGACAACTCCGCTCTCGATCCACGCGGCCACCCGTTGCTGGCATCGCGAGCACTGCGATCGCGTCACGGTGCCCGGTGGTGGCGCCGGTCGATGCGCCGACGACCAGGATTCGCCTGTCTATGTTCCTCCAAGCGCGAGGCCCTGATACGGCGGCATTCTCCTCCAGCGCAGGCCCTGAACGTGCATGCTGGTCGTGCCGCTGCGCGTGCCACCTGGCGACGTACGTTATGCGCTTCGTGCTGCCCTGGCGGCCGGGCTTGTGCGGTGTTTGTTCTCGAGCGAGCGCGAGCGGTCCTGCGGCGGTTCTCCTCGAGCATGCTTCGAGCAGCTCGCATTGCGGATGTTCAGCGTCGTAAGTGCTTCAAGAACTGCGTAATCCGCACCTCATGGCGAGCGGCGACCGTGCTGCCCCCACGGCCGCTGCGCCGCCATCGCGCCGCCGCGCCGCGCCGCCGCCGTATCACTGCTCGCATTTTTCATGTTTTGGATTGTTCAGTCGCCGTCTCCGCGTCGCTGATTGTTCTGCGGGAGACTCCTGGAACGGCACAAGTATTCTCAGTGCCGGCGATGTCCAGGTTAATGATTGCGTCGGTCCACTCTCGCTCAGTAGCGTGTGCTCCGGTTTGTACCGAACTTCAACTTTGCTTCGACTTGCCAAATCGGCTGGTGGCGCCGCGCCGTTCGCAATACCCCCTGACGGACTTAGCCTGGCGTTGTAAACACCTCTGCCGCTGTGGTCGCAATTTCTGCTCCTGTAGTAAGAAAGCAGAGGTGAATTGCATTTGATTATTCAGTACTATTCGCCGACAAGGGGTAAGAAAGTGTTAAAAAAATTTACATCAAATATAGAGAGAAGTAACGCGAAATGAACAAATAGAATTTTCGACAGTACACTACTGAAATAACGGTAAATGAAAGAGACACAAGAAGAGAAAAGAAACAAAGAGAACACTCGCACAAGTAGAGACTACGACTCACTTTGTTATGCTCAGGCCATTCGTTGGCTTTGCATCTTTGTCATGTTTCTTTGGTTTTCTCCTCACGTTCAAGTGCACCTCCACATATCCATCCTTGCTGCGGACTGGCGCACGTGCGGAGGCCACTGCCTTCGTCCGAAGACCATGCTTTACTCTGTAGCGAAGCCTGCGAAAGCAGTGATAGCGAACGTGTGAGTGTGCCTAGGACAAACTGTTCGATCTCACTCAGTCTGCTAGTATTACACCCACGCGCACGCGCCCAGCACGACCCACGACGACACGCACACGCACAACACACGCATTGCACGTCTCTTCAACGCACAGCACAGCGAACACACACGACACACACACACACACACAAACATGGACACACACACATCCACACAACACATGCCACACGCACACGCACGACGCACACCGCACGACTGCACACGCCACCACGCAACACGCACACAGCCCACGCACACACACATACACAAGCGCCTCGATATCTCCATTATACACAGGGTACCTGGACCATATCGTTTCGCTTGTCGATCCTGCAGATTTGTTTCCTGTGGCCTGTTTCCAGCACGTCCCGCGGTGCGCTCTGCTGCTGCTACTGCTCTCGCTCTCTCGTCCATCGGACAGACGGTGAGTCGAACGTTCAGCGTGCGGCTACCACACTTAGGAAGCTCCACATTCTTGCCGACCGCATCGTAGATTGACTGTATCAGTCCACACAGATCCTACACACACAGATAGAGAAGAGGTAACACAGCGTCACCAGTTAACGCATGTAAAAACACACAGAGAGAAAGACAGAGGTAACACACAGAGTCACCAGCAAACGCATGTAAAAAAACACACACAGAGAAAGACAGAGGTAACACACAGAGTCACCAGTTAACGCAATCAAAAAACATAGAGAGAGAAAGACAGACGCAACAGAGATCACCAGTTAACGCATGCAAAAACACACAGAGAGAAAGACAGAGATAAAACACAGTGTCACCTCCAAAACACACGTTTTGTCCACCTACCAACTGACCCGCCTAAAATGTTACAGCTAGCATGGCAGAGATGCCAACACATATTTGAAGCAATCTGTAGTTTCTGGCCATCAAATTAGTAGTTCGAGGGTCACGTAGTGACCCAAGTTTGCTAGGGGGGTCCGGCATGACCCCCGGAAAGTTTTTTAATTCTGAGATGCAATTTCCTGCATTCTGAGGGTCAATAATGACAATAAAATGACAAAAAAAATTTGATTTTTCGATCACAGTGAAATTCGTAGTTTGATACAAACTGGTCGTAGTGGTGCAAAAGGAATAGAAATTCGTATAAAATACGGATAAATCGTAGTGGTTGGCATCTCTGGCATGGGATTCGTTCATCGTGGTCTCACGGGATAGACGCGTAACGTAGTGAGTAGTGAGTCACGCATCACGCTGCTGTCAAGCGCAGCAAACTCAAACAGAGTAATGACGCGTGACTACTCATGACTAGCATTGTTTGTACGCCACTACCCACTGCTCTCTCGTTAGAAAATGTCCCAACAGTCCAAAGTAGGAGCCGGAAGCTACTACAGAGTTCCCTGTCACATTGTAGAGCACGATGTGATGACTGATGATACATGACTAACAGTAACCATTCGATGATTTGTGTTGTTGTTGTGTTGTATCGATGTATTGTCATGCATCTCACTGCATGTAAAGTATTAAAAACTATGTAAAGTATTGTAAAGCATGTAAAGTAGGTGTGTTGTATCGATGCAGGCCAAGATGGCCCAGCCGAATGCGACTGCGTGGAGGACCTGACTATGGGACATATCCTGGAATGCCCCCTATTACCAGAGCCATGTAGACCGGGAGACCTTGAGGTTTTCAACCACCGTGCAAGGTCCTGTGTGCTGCAGTGGCTAGGTCGAGTGTAGTGTAGTGAGCCGAGAAGAAGATGAATGTATCGTCAGTAGCTTACCTGCTTTGTGACACGACCGCAGCCATCAAAGTCGTACAGAGTAAATTGCCACTCCTGCCCATCCGTCTGCATTCCACATTCGAATTGCTGAAAAACAAAAAACAAAAAAAAACAACTCAATCGCGGGATCAGAAAAATCTGACAACTAAAGCCCGGCGCACATTGCCAAACATTTTGCTCAAAAACATTATCGTAGCAATGTTCCATGAAATGTTCGCAATGTACGGTGAAAAAAGTCGCCGAACATTTTGCTCAAAAACATTATCGTAGCAATGTTCCATGAAATGTTCGGCAATGTGCGATGAAAAAAGTCGCCGAACATTTGTTCTGAACAATGTTTCTGAATATCGGAAATGTCCGATATCTCAAACATTGTTCGTCGAATGTTCGTCAACGTGCGCTGAATGTCGAACAATTCTAGGAACATTTGTAAAGTAGTAACCAATAGCAGCACGATATGTGGTCACATGATTTTTGTGCCCAATCATGCGCCGATCACGTGACTCTTTACAACACAGCTACTAGACGGCGCCACGAGATTGTTTGCTGCAAAATGTTCGGCAATGTGCGCTCAGCAATTGTCCACCCGCACATTGCCAGACAAAAACATTTGTTCGGACGAACATTTGTTTGGGAAAATGTTCGGCAATGTGCGCCAGGCTTAACCGTTTTAACCACACCAACATGCAATCTTCCCGTCATCCTCTTCTGGAGTCTTCCCACACTAACAAACCTTCTTGACATACTGTCGATTCCTTGGCTTTCCATTGGGAATGGAGTGCAAGGGTTGAAAATGTGCTCAGCAGAGATCAGTTATTAATAATTAATATCAGCGCGAAAGAGAGAAGCGAAGCGAGCGAGTGTGTGAGAGTGAGAGCGAGAGGGAGAGACAGAGACAGAGAGAGCGAGCGTGCGCGAGAGAGAGATGGGGCTATGGTGCATTACTCATGATCGGTGATTAACCACTAATTACAGTGGTGGCCTGCAGCAGCGGAGCAAATTGCTGGTGGGGAAGATTATGCTGGTGTCAACAGTACGGCCTCATGACCACGATATGGATGTAAAATCAGCGATGTCGGAGAACTGAGTCATTACGCCTCCAGGCCATGACGGCCTAGTCGACCCTAGTCACATCAGTTTAATGACACCAGCTATAGATAGTACGTGGTTGCACACAGAGATGGCGCTGCTGATACAAGATGGCATGAGCATCAGCGGAGGGGGTCACTGATCTCTATACAATAACTGGATAGCGCGGTTAGTGAATCTACGGTCGGTGAGAACGTGATGCCACCGCGCCACTTGCCGTCATCTTGCAATTAATCCAAAAGTTGAACTGTCGGTGTGCGCACTATAACATTTCAAGTGGAAGATGAAGAAATGCAGCTAGCATATTTTATCAAATAAATTAGCAATTTTGACAAATAAACGACAGAATATATTTATATAAATAGATAGACATAGAGAGAGAGAGAGAGAGAAAGGTTTACAGGAGGGAGATCTAGGAGAGACGAAGGCTTGCACTGGTGTCAATGGCAAACGGTGGAAACCC